TTTAATATTAAAATGGCTGCCAATTTTGTTGAAGATGCATGTCACAGTGAAGAAAGAAGTCTACTGGATATGAACTGGCTATACCAATCGCTTGGCCGCTGTTTGAAGGCATTTTTTGTTGCTAAACACACCTTCAGCGGTCAGGAGTGTCTAATTTTGACCCAGGAAAAGCTATTTGATCATCCACCACTTGCCCCAACCTCAAGAATCGGGATAATCATTAAGGAATACGAGTATGTGGTTCATGTGTTGTTAAGAGAAATTCAGCGTGGTACCCTCACTTATGATAATTTGGAGAACCAAATTGTACAGCTTTTTAACAAGTTTTCTTTGGATTCACCCATTTTTAGATTTTGTTCTGGAATCGATCCAAGTGAGTATGAGCGTATTAGAGAAGTAATTCGTTTTGATATAAAAAGCGTTCGTAAGGCACATGAACCAATACTCCGTGTTGACTTGGTTAACTGTTGACTTTGGTTTGAGTTACCTGCTAAGTGTAGAATAGAGAATCGAAAAGCAAAGGATGGTGTCATGTGTCCAGTGTGTGTACGTTTGAAGTGTGATTTACAACATCAGCTAAAGAGAACGACAGCGGAAAGTCCTTCCAAGAAACAAGCTCGACAAGAGAGTTCATTGCGTGCACGCTTAAGTCACATGTCACCAGCAAGCCAAGAAAAGAGAAGGAAAAACCAGCTAAATGATCGGAAAAATCTGAAAAAAGAGAGTTATTCATTACAACAAAACAGAAGAGACATTGGATGATGAGCAGAATGATGAGCTATCTTCCATTACATCATATATACAGAATAATCATTCTGAGGAATTGGAAAAGCTATTTGCTGAAGGTATGCACATACATGTAATTTATTTAGTAATTGTATACAAATAAAAATATAGGCGAAAAGTATGGCATCAGTCACATAATTCAGGATATTTGGAAAGAAGATGTAAACAAACAATCAGGAATTCAACAATTCCAAAATGACCAGAAATTTAACAGTATGTTTGCATTTTATGGATATTTAACAAATACATGTTTTAGGTAATGGAAAGAGAGGTAATAAGTGGAGTATGATCACCATACGAATTGGTATGTAAAGGAATTTTATGTCATCTTGATTTCATGTATGGTTAATTTTGTTACATAGCCTTAGCCATATACGTTAGAAGTCCTGCAGCGTATGAAGCTCTGAAATCTTTTGACATTCTGCAACTACCATGTGGTTTGACCCTTCAAGCTTTTACTGGAGCTTTTCTTCATGAGACTGGTGCGAGTAGTTCTTGCATAGAGAAGCAAGTTGCTGAGTTTGTGCTTCATTGTCAGAGAAGAGTGTTACAGGGAAAGAAAGAATCTATGAAGGATGGTGTTTTGATTTTTGACAAAGTGAAGGTCATCAGCCGCTTAATGTGGAATTCTAGGAGTCAAACCTTAATTGGTCTGAGCATGACTCATGAGCAAATGGCTTCGATTGGTGATATCTTTCAGACTATTGATGATGAGAGTGTGTTACAAACTAGTCACATACTTCAATTTTTGTGCAGAGACATGACCAGTAACTTTGACATCATTGGACCATATTTCACTTGTGCTAGTACAATTGATGGCAAGTTCACCCTCGCCTGTGTCCTAGAAACTATTAGGCTATATCAACTTCATGGATGCTCAACTTCTCAACTAGTTTGTGATGGAGCATCTACCAACTTATCACTAATTAAGGCTTCTCATGGTACTTCAGGAGTATATCCGATTTTGAAAGGTGAGCATGCTACTCTTGATTACATTATTTTACTACGCAATTCTATGTTTATTTCAATAAGTGAAAGAGATCCATATGCAAATGAGCCATGTATGATAACCCATTCAACCCACCAAATCTCATTTTCTGGGTCATTTGTCCAACTCATCAAGTAATGTGGTACTGCTCTGTTAAATCTTATTAGCCCCTTTTATTTGTAGCTGAAAAACATGATAAATGCTCTTTTTT